TGTTTTTATCTGAAGGCTGAATGCTTACAGATTGGTCCCATAGAAACTTTTTCCAAACCGGTTCAGTAGTTTAGTTTTTAAATCTTGTTTTGTTACAATTGATTTTTTTTTTGTGGAACACAATTATTGATTAATAAGAATTTATACATAACAGTTACAACTCAGTAACACCTAATCTAGAATAAGCTTGTATTTTACGTGAATTCCGTTAAATATATACAATCTAATGATAATACTGTTTTACTTTATACATTTTTGATATACCTTATACTTTTTTCTTTACTATAACCATTATCTCTTTTTTTATTGCATTTTTACACTAATTAAATACCGACTTCTTTCTTTTTTCCTTTAGCCAGAAGTCGTCTGTAAGAGATATTGCTTTAGCGACAGGACTTTATTTGTTCTTTTTGAAATGATAAACTAGACGTAAAATATAGATTCTAACAACATCACGTACATGATTACCATTCTAGAAGACAAAATTATGAGGTCTCTTCTATTCACAAACTGCACTTACTATCTGCCCATCAGAGTGAAACGACGCACGCATTACTTGCTTCACGGTAGATGTAGATAACACGGTTATACGTACCCAACTGAGACGATAAAATTTAATGAAAATACTCGTAAAGTTATATTAAATGAAATTTACTTAAGAATTGTATTTACTAGTAAATTGAAAACAATAAATCTGACAATATTGACAATAACACATCCATAGTTTCATATAAAAAACTTCTGATAGGACATCTATCCGTAAAGGCTTATAATGCAAAATACAATTCATAATCTAGTATGTATAATCTTCCTTATTTAATATTAAAATTCTATCTATAATAAGAATACAGCTTTATAAATCTACAGGCATGCCATTTACGTTTTATTGATCCGCATTGAGGTAATTATGTAGAAGTAAATATAGAAGTGGAGAGCGTCTATTAGCCGCAGACTTTGGCCTCAACTTTTTCCAAATTATCCTTGTTTCCGAGCATTCCGTTGAATCGTAACATTTGACACTCGAGGTCTTAGATTGATTAATGGCATATACATGGAAAGTTTTTTTTTTGCCAAGCTTAATCTTGGAAAAAATGTTCCTCACAACTTTGTTATTTATAGGAATGCTACGTAATAAACCATATTATTTACCATTCAGTATAATATAATTTTACCAATTTATTTGTATTCTTTCTACTACTTCAATTTCATAATGATGAAATAGTCTAAATTGTGCAGTTCTAAATTTATATTATTTTCGCTATGTTTTGTAATTGTCAAGTTAATATTTATGTGAAGGAAACCGTTTGAAAAATCATGCAAAAAAGCAAAAAATTTGGGATATAAAATTTCCATGCAAGAAATGAGTGAGTGAATAGAGGACAGTAGAGAGTTCTTCAAAGTTAGTTCACTCATGCAAAGCCGGGGCAAAGTTAGTTTACAATAATGTTATATTATCTAATCTAACACCCTGTAATAAAGTCTGATGAGTCTAAAGCCTGAAAATAAATTGTCTACTTTCGTCTTTGATCGATACTAATTAATGTCGATCGTAACAAAATTAGTATGAATCTACCTTTAATTCTTAACTTTAAAAGTACACCCTATTGATTGTAAAAGAATCACGAACAGTTATTACAGAATTTGTAAAAATTTCGCGTAGTATATTCGTGACCATGAACAAAAACTTTATAGACGAATAGAGATTATTTAGAGATTGCATAGGAACACGCCAACCTAGATATTAAAATTAAATCCTAATCCTACATTAATGTACTGGCATTAAAGCCATACATTCAACATCATGCTAGACATTTACCGTTTGATGACCACAAAAAAAGAATAGACATAAGTACTATCTATAAACGTTGAATCAAAATTGTGTCGAGACGCTTTTGTGTGGACTATGAAAGAGTATAATCACGTTACTGAACAATTTAAATTCAATTTTTTTTTACTTTAGTTTATGTCTGTAATCTGTCAAAGATTATGTGCAAATGGGTTTATTGCATTAATCACAAAAGAGTTGGTAACTAAATTTAAAATTATCACAGAAAGAATTATGAAGTAAAAAATTAAGAACAAAATATTTCAAATTAGAATAAAGTTTTGAAATTTTAAAATTTTAAAAGTTAGTATCTAGAAAACTTGACGAGAGATTTCTATTTGCCGTCTTACTGCGAGACACTTTAATGGTTTCAATTGCGTCATCGCGTTTAGCATAATAACCGCATTTGGTAAATGTGGACCCATGCTTGGAATATACGCAACAAAACTCTTAACTGATATCGAACCTAGAATTTCAAGGTCTCGCACACAAGCCACCAGACAAATGACGTGACTTCCATCAAATATATTATTAAGCAGCTAATAACCGCTTCTAGGATATTATTTGACCACACTTGGTAAAAAAGAAAATTCAGTATTTGTAATTGTAGTACAATTATCGTTCAATACATTTACCGTGTAAATTATAGTTTTTTAAGCGACTGTATCGATTTATGTATTAATGGAACGAATCTCTGGCACAGGTAGAAGATAACAATACTTTAAATTGCAAACCGTCTGACACACTTTTCTGTGTTTGTTATAACGAAAACACAATGAGTCATCGAGTTTCTCGCCATCTGTTGCATTGTCTGTCATAGATGCAGTCCAAGGTTTTAATGTGCAAGATGCTATAACTCTTATATATTCGTTTCTGACCATAAACAGGTCTTACTGTTAGTCATTCGAATCGGTCGTGACCTTTTTCTTGCATATTTTAATAATTTGTACTATGATTTTGAAAATAAGAGTTTAACGTTGAATTGTAAAATAATATATTATTATTGTACAAGATGAAATCGAAAACATTTGCATTCTTTAAAGAAAATCTTGAACCTGTAAAATAGAATGTTTTCCCAAAGGAACATTAGTCGATAACCGAAATACTATGTTTATGGAGAAAATTTGGTCAATTTTATTGTTACAGTATTTCTTTATAACTATAATAATATTTTCGATTTCAAAATGTTTGGTTTCTTTTGATTTGAAATTCAAATCTACATGATCATTCATCATCATTTCTAACTTTCGTTTTCCACTGCATCAGTAGAACGAATTGTTTATTTTTTGACAGACTATTACAATATTTACAGATGAAACCTTCGTTTTCACTAAATATTTTTCCTCTTGCTAAATTCACGTTACGCGTTTGTAAACATGCCAATCTTGTACCATGCTTATCTACCAACATATATATGGTAACATTAACTGATAACATTAAGACCGCTTGAAGACTTATAATAACACTTTAAACTATTATCAATATTTGCATAACAAATGTTTCTCCGTTTAATAATTAGCAAATTGTTTATTACTTCATTATGTCATCTTTTTAAGATTTTAGTATTTATTATAAATTGGCGACTTACAATACAAGCAACAAACTAAATTTTATATTAAAAACACAAATATATTATTTACTATTATTGATTTTATTATTGTACATACGAGTAACAATAAAATATTACAGGAATACCAAACCTTCAATGATATGATGAAACGTAACTCATTGTGATAGAACGCCAAAACCAAATATGTAATATAAATGTGTTGAACAGTGTTGCAGGTGATATGTCATCATTGTTATATTCGCTTATTGTTTTCATGTTCGTATGTTGATTCAAGTGTTTTGGTGACGGTATCGCTATCTCTTTCAGATTTACCTGTGACCGCTGAAACAGCTTTGTGTGCAACAATTTGGGATTGGTGAACGGCTCTAGGTATTCGCTTTGATTAACATTACCATTTTGTCTCTTTTCTTTCAGATGGATCCATTGTTGCTGTCTCACTCCGGCCTGTGCACTGGACTAGAACAGGGCTTATCTAGTTTTAATTCCTCGGATAATTTTGTGTTACTTGCAAGTGGTTCTCTTTCTAACTAGTCGCGTTGTTATTGGAAATATAATTCTTCATACGGAAAATAATAAGAGTATTGCGGTTAGTGGTTTCTGATATGTTTGTTTAGAGAAGATTTACTACTTCTATCATATTACTATATAAAATATATATGCTATGATCAAACATTAAGGTCCATTTTTGTAGACTTCTTCCATCATTTCATTAACTTTATTTGTTCGCTAGTAGTCGTTATTATCGAATTACATCTCATTACTGTTATTTCACTTTTAGTTGTACGTTGATTTTGTTTTCTTCTAAACAAAAGTTGAAGCTTGATTCTCTCGGGAATGTTGTAAAAATGTTTTTAGTTTATTATTAAGTTAGATCGATACAAACTGAAGGTCGATTACAAAGCGACCTTTATTTATCTTTATGGTGGTATCATTGTACTATGTCAATTTAATTTTAATCCGTTTAAGGTATTCGTGCGTATTATTAGAATTAGTTTGGAGTGTCATTAGTCTTTTGGACTTATTTAATCGTTTGTAATTTGTGCATAACTTAAGTTGTAATTGTAACGTTTATAGATTTCAGTTCTGGTTTTTTAAATTTATTTTTCAATAACAAATTCAAAATATACTGTTTTTCAGTTCAGTCACAATAATATCGTTTTACCCATATGGTTTCATTTCATAAATCGACCTGTTTTATTACGTTCGTCTCGTTCTATATATGAAATATCATCATACAAACACGCCAAATGGCTATTTCAAAGTTAATGCAGGAGTACCCTTAATATTAGTTCATTGCTTATTTAACTTATCTGTTATTAATTCCTTATCAAAGAAATTGTTCGTATATCAGTAGAAATAGGCTCTTGTGCGTCATTACTCGCCTGAATTTTAGATGTGGTCATATGACGTCAGTGGTAAATGAACATTGGCTTGCGGTGTCGCTTTCCTGCTTCGAGTTATAGTTCGTGACAAGGTCATTCGATATCGATGGCCGACTCTGTTCGATATGATCAGGATTTGTTTAGATGAACAATTACGTTCTTGCCTCATTATCTTTTGATAACGACTCGAACGTGTCTGGCTACAGCCATATTTGTTTTGCAGATTTATGAAATAAAAGTGATTAAATGATAAAAACATTCATTAAGTTGAATATGGACTGTTCTAAGAAACATTAACAGTGAAATGTTTTAAATAAAAGTACATAGGAAGTGAAATGTTCTAAACATGGAAAGGAAATTAACGCGAGAAGATTTTATGCGCAAAAGTTTCCGTGCGCCACGGCTATCTGCGGCTCAGGACCCTACGGAGACTGCAGTCAATGGGGCACCACCGCCTTCTCCAGTATCCCTATCAATGCTTGAAAGAACTCCTCCAAGAGCTCAGTACGATGTTAATACATCAGGCATAACACCTAAACGTCTCGAATTAAACAGAGCTCATCCGATTCATTTGAAGTCGTTTCAAACACCAGAACCACCAGATGAAACTGCTCCTATTCCGCCTTCAGACGATGTACTTCTTAAACTTGAACGGCAGATAGGGGAAATGGAAAGAGGTTTGGAAAGAGCTCAAAATGGTAATGTTTCGGTTGATGAACGAGTGAGGTACGCTGAGCACGAAAATCTACTCCGGACCGGAGTGTCCTCCGTCGGTGGTGGAGGTTATTTACCTGCAGATTCGGATACAGAACATGATTCTGTGCCGTTTAAAAGAAACGAGACTACCAGGAGTAGTACGGGTGGGGCCACGCCAGTACCGCGGCCCGCTACTAAATTGTCTAGGACGAATTCTGACACACAGCAACATTCGGTCGCTGCGACTGCCAGACTAATGCGAAAGTTTGCTGAAGGTGGGACGAAAGACGAGAAAACCAAAATTATCTCACGGAAAGCAATACAGGCAAGGATAGAGAAAGTGAGGAACTCTGTAGGAGGAACAAAGCATGAGCATAGAGTGTTAGCGGAGCACAGGACTGATTCGGCTTCGCCCAGAACGCCTGCGTCGCCTGTTCCCTCGAGAACATCCACTCAGGTAATCTTGCTGTAAACGTCTTCTGTGTCTGTAGGTTTTAATACAATCTGAATTTCACTATGAAACAAATTTTACTTAGACAACTGACATAGGAGGTATTTAAGAAAAAATATGTCAGGTATCTTATTAAGCGTATAACTATAATACAATATATTTTTAATTTATTTTATTCTATCTGTTTATTTCAGTACTATACCAGGGTATTGGAGCATAACACTTTAGTTCTCAGGAATGGCAAAGCATGAAGGGTACCATGGGCGATACAGTATACTCTGTTATGTCTATGGTTACTTACTGTTCATGTTTATAGGCGACGGTTACCACTTTCCATCAGGTGGACCGTCAGCTTGTTTGCCATTTTAAGTTGTATAAAAAAACTTTCCAAAAGCTGCTGCACCAAATTGGATACAGTTTTCACAGTTGTGTTTCTGAAAGTCGTACTTAAAAATCTGCTGTTTTATTTTAATATGACATTTAAAAGTTAACTTTTAAATTTCATTAGTTCAGAATCCAAGCGTACGAATTTGTGAATTAAAGCTAGATGTCAATAAGTAGGTATATAACTTACGAAGATCCAACTGCAACGTCGTGTGTTTGAAAAAAATGTAACTTATTTAATGTCAGATAAAACTCCTAATGGGCCAAAAGTATTTTTGTCCGGTTGGCCAACTCGTAAGTACTGTGTAGAACTTCGTAATGGGAATTTAAGTAGGGCAATTAAGTTTCAATAAACTTGTTTTTTAAGAAGGACGCTACACGATTGGTTTGTGTTCTTAAACATTAAGTTTTAATTACTAAAACCAAACTATTTAAGAAAGTCCATATCATTCAAGAACAGTTCTCGTCGGGCATGAAAGAATACGTGGATGAAACGATCATTAATCTAAATTAAACAACATGATTTACTGTTCATTATTGATCATCATCTGTATCATATAATTTCCCGTATTGATTTCCTCTAAATTAGTCAGTAATAATAAATGGTTTGAATGATTAAATATTCAATTATTTTATCCGAATCAATATGATTCGGATGAAACGATTTCGTCATATTCGCTGATTTGGCTTGTATTTCCAGTTGATAGCTTTTGAGTAGATAGATTATATTGTTTAAATGAAACTTAATGAAAATGTAAATCATAATGCAGTATATTGATGTCCAATGCATATTTTATTGATATAATAGCGTATTAGGACGTTTTACTCCGTGTTTACGTCAACGATTCAAAATGTTAGGTATTTAAAACACGATTCCTAGGCCAGTTAGTGGAATTACACAATCACCAATTTGTCTAGATTGTTCACTTGGACCTTGAGTTTGTATTTAACTAATCTGTAATTGTACTATAACAGATGCAATAGAATTAATATTTTTATAAAGAAAGAAAGAATTATGTATTTATTCTTTTGTACGCATTAAAATATGTATACAGAGCGGAGTTAATGCCTGATTGCATACTCTATCTGTCAAATATTTCATTGAATCAAATGTTTAATATTCTAAAAGACTGTTGTATACTAACTAATGTTGTTTTTTTTTAACAGGTAAGCGAGCTGTTTTGAAATTTTACCTCGTGGTAAAAAAGTTTACAGCGGTGAGTTTATTTTCATAACATCTTATAAATTTATGTTCCTTTTTTAAATTAGAATGACAAACCAGCCGACGGGCTACCTGATGGAAATTAGTAATCGTCGTCTATAGACATGAGAAGTACCATGGACATAACAGAGTATACTGTTTTGCCCATGATACTCCTCATGCGTTGTCATTCCTGAGGAGCCAGGCATTATTCCTCTGTACCCTGTAAATTCACTGCCATATTCCAACCTACTTTTTTTGTAATCACAGCTATTATAAGACTATCGGTAACACTCTTAAAATATCCATGTTTCATAATGTACAATTGACGAAATGATCTTGTACAAACACTTTTGATAAATATCACCTATGTCAAAAGAATTCAATTTGAAAATCTCCTTTATAAAACTGTGTTTTTAAATCTGTTATATATAAACATAAAAATGGAGAAAGATTGAAGAACAATGTAAAAATTACGTGCAAAACGGTTAGCGAATTTATTTGAGAAACGTAAATAACATTTAGAATGATCATGAATTGCTCTAGCATGTTTAAACCAAAATTAAAGGAGTAAATGATTGGACAGAATGGTCATAAATTGCTCCAGTAATATTTTAACAAAAACTGGAGGAGTAAGTGACTGGGGAAAAAGAGGATTCGCTCGCTTGACCCAATTCCATCTCAATGTAGAAATGTTGATGGCGGCTTTGCAGCCATCATTAATTATTTTGATTCTACTCTTTTGCAAACAGGGCCGTAAATACGTTTGTGTAAGATTATCTATACAAGTCAGTTTAAAAATATTTTCAAAATCCGCCATTTTTATCGTTGTGATTATTTTAAATTTTAAAATAATGTCATTTAATATATCGTTACCTATTTATCAAGCGCTTTCATTTTCATACTCATATTGTCAGGGTTGACAAAATTTACACCATCCGCCATATTGTAACGGCGGCCATTTTGAAAATATTACAATATTGAGTTATTACGTATTGTATTGTCACCAGAACTAAAGGTGAATGTAAAATGTCAGTGAAATCGATTACAAGTAACTGGTCTTTATACAGCTTGCATTGGACCTAAACAAACTAAAAACTAACTAACATATAAACATTGCAAGTTAAATAAAGCTTATAAAAGAAGGTTGAGATATACTTTTTCTTCAGTCCGTCGTATTACCATATTTGAGTTCCGTGTCGCTGTCGACTGTTACGTTAAATGGAAGCAAAAACGATGATTGACGCCGCGGGTCAGCCCTAAAAGTTTTCTCAAATTCTTTATGCTCGCCATTTTTTTACTAGCCCCCAGGGAATTCGATTAGGGTTGTACAAAGTTAGATTGTGAAAGGTAGTATATTATTTTGACTTTCGTTTGATAGCAGTTTTGCCGGGCCTTTGATGGCAGTTTTTCTGAATAACAAAGCAGTGAGTAGTGAAGGTATTATTGACGGTGCTACATTGTTCAGAAATAAATAGAATTGTATTAGTATTCTTTTACAATTTTTCCCAAAGAAATACGGATTAACAACGAAAAGGGACATAAAAATTATATTATTTCAGAGCATCCAACTGTAGTGTTAGTATGGAAAGCTCAAAATTTCGTTCGTCTTTTAATTTTTCTTCCTAAAATTTTCAGTCCTAATATTTTTTTTGCAATTTAGAATGGTAAACAAGCTAACTTTTATTTTATAATATAGATAGATTATTAGTAAGTACTTTTACGTATGGCTTATAACTTTTTTTCGACTTTTCGACTTTTTTTCGACACTGTATCAGAAAAATTCCGAAATTTTATGAAACAACTGTGATTAACAAATGGCTTATATGATAATTACAATGAACGCTTCAAATGTTATGGTTAAGATAAAAAATCAGAGTGTCCAACTGTGTCAAATTATATACAAACTATATCCAAAATAGTAGAATTATGGCCCAGTTGCTGGTCAACCAAATTACGGCCCAGGCACTGATTGAATCAAATTCCAGTTTTGTCTAGTTTATGTATAATACATACTCGTATACTGGCTGTATATGATCATCGTACACCCGACTAGTAATAAATTTATGTCGTATATTACATGTTTCAGGGATGCAGTGACTAACTAAATTAAAAGCTTATCCTAACTATGTTATAGTTAGTTAGCAACCCTATAATATGTAACAGAAATGTTACAGCATTTCTAATTTAAAAAACGAACGTTGCCATAATTTTTTTTTTTTTTAATTAAATTACACCATTTAAAATAAATAGTTATTCTTTAGTCACCTCTTACGACACCCACGGGAAAGGAAGAGTGGCCTGTTCTAAGTCGAGACCTACATGGCTTACATCTGTAAGGTGCAGTTATTACTTCCATCCAGTGGGTCACATTCTATTCTCTGCTATTCTAAGTGTCAGTCTACTAGGCCATTAGATTCTCTGCTGTTCTAAATATCAAAACACAGAACAGAACTGCAGCAGAAGAAAATTATTGTTTGATATATTTTGTTTTCTTTTTGTTGCTTTTTTTGATTTTCATTCTTTTATCTCTTTTTACTGTGTATGTCTGTATTATGTGTATGTTTGTATTGTTATCTGTGTACTGTAAGTAATGCAAATAAATTGTCTATCTATCCGTCTATCTATCTATCATAAAAAATCAATGCGCCGCGCATTATTGCTTCAGGGCTAAACTATATAAAGCTATGGTAAAGATAGTATCTACTTCCGAACACAGTTGCTCACAACACCAGAATAAGCAACGAGAAGAAAAATACAAAATTCTATAACGGAATAACTAAGTTGTCTCGTTATAATTTCATATCCCCCGTCTGTTAAGTCCTCTCTCAGCAGTTGCTTCAAGTTTCCAGGAAAACAAGCTAGTACATATAATACGCCGATTCGTTTATCTCGCTTTTCCTTTATTTGAATATACGTCTTATTATAGAGATACAAAAGATTATCGGTTAACTTTAAATAGAATACGGGTAGCTGTAAAGTGTCGTGGAGTAAATAAGAAATCAGACTCTTGAACAAGTTAATCCTTATAAATGTGAGAGTGAGTTTGCTGGTTTGTTACATCTTACAACCAATTTCATTGTATGCTGCATAAACATTAAAAAATTATATTTCACAAAAAACCATTCACTTTAATCGTGGTAAAACCAGTTATTTTGATTGATTTAAAAACTAAACTGCTAAACAGGTTTTGATAACATTTTTATGTGGCCTATCAGTAAGTTTGTAAGAAATTTCGTATATATGAGATGGCGAGTATAGGATACTTGTTATGCATTTCAGAGAATATATCCCGGTCACATGGGCGAAGTTGCCGATAAAAAAAAAAAAAAACTAGTATTTAAAACAATGAGAAAGGTTAGATTTATAGGGCACTGATATTTAACTCCTTGGATTTTAGATCTTTTACCTTGGAATTTAG